GAATGAAATACTTTTAGCCTCGGAGGAGATGATCTATTTTAAAAACACAGATTGCGTTTGCAGATGGCAGAGAACGGCTTCAGAGTCGTGTCGTTCGGGGTTCTTTTCCTACCGACACGAGGGCAAAGCGAGCCCACTGTCACCAGCAGCACAGCGGGGCGGGTCTTGCTCAGAGCAGACAGCCCGCTCCTCCTTGTCTAGACTCTGGGATTGAATACGTGTTCAGAAGTACCCCTAAGAACTGAAGGACCACGCTTGAACATTTCTTCCCACCTCTTACACTGCTTTTGTTGCGTCAGAAATGGGTTTCACGTATTTCTGTTTGTTTATGTAGAAATAGCTCCTCCTCAGTGGTGACATTTTCCATGCCTTTACGCAAGCCAAAAAAGAAGTTTTTTTTTGTTTTCACTTGTGCCACATCCCTTCTGTTTACTGTTCTGAGTTTATTTTTGGTGGAAGAAGCTGCCATGTTAATGTTAGAGACAGAAGGCCTCTGTTCCCAGAAGATACAGGAATGGCAAGCTGCTCCTGATCAAGAATTACTGCATTGCTGTTTTTCTGTGGATGCAGGCCGTGTGGACACATCCCTGCTAACTTTATACTATTGTGGTGTCTCTAACAGCACTGGTCCCCACGCAGGTTGGAGCCTCTTCCCTGTCAAGAATCTCCGTAACAGTGTTTTGCATCTCTAGGTTTTTATCAGGATAGTTATCTTGATATAAATAGCACATGCTTTGCTTTATTTTCTTTTCTGCTCCTTGCATTGAGAGCAGACCCTAATACTCCTAAAGTGCTTTCAGAAGATCTGTTAGGTAAGTGTAAGCTGGTACCACGTTGGTGTTTAAGCTGATGCCCTAGCAGTACAAAGTCCTGTCTTGCTCTAATGTGTGTAAATTGTAATTGCATCTAGGCAGGAACGCGGAACAGCTCATTGGGGATGGGGGCGTCGTTTCTGCCTTCCACATTTGGGGTTGTTGGGTATAGACCTCATGCAGACCTCAGCACTGCCCAAAGCTCATGTAGCCCACGTGCAGGAATCGTACCAGCTGATCCGAGGTTCCTGCAGCCATCCTGAAGTACACCTGGGCCCATGTCTGAAAGCCCTGTGTGTTTACCCAGACGTACTTTTCTGTGCGCGTGTTTCCAGTTTCCCAAGTTTGGTGCTTTTCGTGGCTATCTGTTCTCCTGGTCCTGTTTGGGATGTGCTATATTGCAGGTTACCTCCGGGGGGAGCAAGGTAGTCAGTTGGAGATGAAAGCTTCAAGAGTGAAATTTAGAGGTGTTGAAATGTTTTCCTTTGATATACTTAGGAGAGCCCTCCAGAGAGGGAGAATAAGCGTGCAAGTAACTTTACTCTCGCTTGAAATGGAAGCAATGAGGTGGAGGTGAAAGAGATGGGCAGAGAAAACAGGACATGGCAGAAGAGTAAGGAACTCTTCAAAATTTATTATGTGTTAGATTGGTTTGTATTGCATTGGTAATTCAGGTTTCTAAATGCCCCTAATTTGCCATATGGTAATGTCAAGTGCCTTCCTCATGGTTTGGTACCTTGCAGTGCTGGGAACTGTGCGGGCAGAGAACAAAAAGATGGTTGTCCCAAGGAGCTTACAATGCGCAAGAAACAACAGAGAAATATAGCCAGCTGGGAGGAGTGCAGAGAAAAGAGATCACAGCTGGTAGCCTAACCATTGTCAGGTTGTTGCACAGCTGGAGTAGCAAAACGGGAGAATGGAGAAAATCGAGGTGAATATGAAATAGCTTTGTGGCTGTTGGAAAGGACTGTTTTCCCCAGGCATGAGAGGAAGCAGGAAGGTATGTGCTACGGCACTGACATGGGCTGTGATGGAGGTAGGTGTCCAAGAAAAAAAGCATCAAAACATATTCACTGCGTCAGGTGAGAGGGAAGCTGCTTGCACCAGGATGCTGGATCTGTAGCTCGTCGAGGCAGCGCGGTTTGCTGTGACATGCTCCCAGGCACCACCTTTGCTGGAAGCCTGTTCTGATGATGTGCTGGGCCAGAAGAGGAGCTAGCAGACTCTGAGCTGGTGGTAGTGAATGAGCCGAAATCCACTCACCTGGTTAAGGCTGTGCTATTATCTATTAAATATAGTACAGAATTGCTCTTCAGCTTCTTGCATACAGTAGACTTTCATAATAGCTTTGTGCACTGCTTATACCTGTCACTGTAGCAATGGTGTATGGGACTTTAGGAGATTAGAAGGGATAATTTGGAAGGTCTATGTTAATTTTGCAGATTTGAGAGTACAGTGTTCCTTCGTGTTTCACTAGCAAGGAGAATGAACTGCAAGCTGATGCTTACAACCAGTAAAAAGTATCAAGTGATTAAAAAGTTGTCCTTACGGGCAACCCTGAGGAACAGGGGGGTGCTCATGGGTGAGGTGGACTGGGGTTTGAGGTAGGAGAAGTGGAGCCCCGGTTAAGAAAGTTTGTATATGTTCTTTCAGAACGCAGTGCTGGAAAGAGTTATTAGTTTCAATGACCTTGTGAATTAAAGGGAATTAGGCAAAGAATGATGCGTAATCATGTAATTAATGACACTTGATGTGTAATCACAAGGGGGCAGTGTTAAGGTTACATATACAACTTGAACTTTCAAGTGTCACTGCTTCTGAATACGTAACCCTTGTCACGTCAAAATGCTTGTTGATCCCTTTTTGCCGTTTCAGCTTCCCTTAAAACGAGTGCAGAGAAGCAGAGAAATTCCCTTTCAGATCTTCAGCTCCGCTGACATTACCGGCGCTGCGTTTGGGTCCGTGGTGTCGGTGTGGTTTGATTAGCTGGAGCGTGGAGCTCCAGGTCCTGTCCCTCCTGCCACCGGTGGTCTGCAGTAGAGATCCTCTCCCCCATGAGCTTTAGGAAGGGCTTAGCAGCTTCCTCTCTTGCATAGCTCCCAAAGTGCACTGGGATGTGCAGGATCGCAGCTGGCTGGACTTTATTTAGAGCTAGGTTAACCACAGGTGCATCTGCTCTGATTTCATTTTAGATGTGCCCTTTGTGAGCTTAGTGGAAGCACTCTCAGCGCTGTGAGTGTTCAGTCGCTTCAGAAGTCACTTACGTAGAAATCCTGTCTTCTCAAAGCAATAAAAACCTTGCTACTTTGTGACATCTCCATCCAGCCTTCTCTCTCCAAATTTTTAGATACAGTATAAATAATGTAGTGTGTGTGTGTGTGTGTGTGTATGCTTTGAAACTCAAAACTTACCATTTATAGTTCCTGTACCGATCAGGACTGAAGAGGAATTACCCTTCAGTACATGCAGTTATGGAAAGCTGTAACTCAGAGCAGGGATATTTTGGAAAAAGAATGACTGGAAAGAATGAAGAAAAGCCAAATTTGACAATTATAAATTAAACCATAACAGTTGTGCAGCTCCCTCTATGGTAAGGTAATATCTGCTTAAACAAATCTGGATATTTCCCAGGATTTGTATTTGTTCTCTTCCCGCCATGGAAGAAAGCAGAAATGAGGTGCAATGTGGCGTAAGTAACATCAGAGTGCCGCGCACCGCTGGTGCAAGCGTGTGGTTTGGAAAAGCATGTGCTGGAGGGGCCATTTGCACACCTTAGTGTGCCTGTGGAAATGATTTGCTCCTGGCCCTCTGCTTTTACTGGGTGCCTGTTCCCTGATTTGAGCTGTGGCTTCAAGTGAAGGAAGGCTGGGGCAGTTCATCTGCAGATGTGTGTTCTCTTGCGTGTTCTGCTGTGACCTGTCAGTAAATGACAGATGTGTCCTTCCCTGCTGCGGCTGTAAACTGTGGCAATGGATCGTTGGCCTTTCCATCTGCTGATCTTTAAGGCCTGCTACGTCTTACGCTTTTACAGAAAGCTACGTCTTACGCTTTTACAGAAAGGGTATCCCGAAAACTATTAGGAGGTTATCAGAAAGGGGCAAGATTATGCTGTTCCCCTTTATAACCATGTCTTTACTATCAACCGCATCAGACGCAGCTCTTGTAGTGGACAGAACCAATGGCTGCCTGCTTGTGATCTTGGTTTAAGTGGATTATCTTCTTCCAATCCAGAGGTCACATTAGAGCCTGCTTACAACCAAATTGAAAATAATAGCTGTTTTAGATCTTAGACCTTCAAGAGTTTGTTCCATTGAAAGAAAATAGCTTTTCATCCATGAAATGACCAAGGGTCATGCTGCTTTGAAATCTTGCATATCCTTGTGTTCTGGGTGTGTTTTCATGGGTCAACTGGCTTTTAAAAGCCGATCAGGTTAAATTCATGTCACGTAGAAAACAATGCTGTTACTAGAATTAATGACAGGCTCACTAAGTGTACCATGCCATACAATGTTTGGTAAAAGCATCACTTTCATGCTCTTCTTTCTAGTGAGGAGAGCTTTCAGCACATATCCTTCCAATAAAGGTGCTTTAGGCTGAGTGTGGTTTTCAAAATGGCAGTAGGAGAGGTGGGGATTGCTTGCTGGAGCAATAAAGATGCTTCTCTTCCCCCCCTTGCTGCGCAGTGACGCTTTGTGGTCCGTGTTCTTGTTGCCTGCTGCTGCTTGTTCTGCTGCCTTCCAGATGAAACCGTAAGACTTAGACTCTGGCAGACTAACCATAAGACTAGGTCACGGCAGAATAGCCAGTGCTTTTCTGGAAAGTAGAGCTGTTAAGTTGGGTGTGCCTGTCATCTTCCAGTACAGATGATTTAGATACTTCCTTCTGATCTCGGGTGAATGCTGTATTCATCTTGTTCTTAAATATTTTTATTGCAGAAGGGTAGTGACAGTGGCAGTGTTTCATGATCTTGGGGAGGCTGTGTTGTGAGTGGGAGAGCGGGTCCTGAGGACCACATGATTTGTTGTATCACGCGGGGTGGCAGTGGCAGACTTATCCAGGTCCTGTTCGTAAAGCACGTGGGCAGCCTGGTGAAAGGCATGTGAGAGATGCAAAGTACTGTTACTGTTATGCTCCTGCATCCTTTCAGCTGGGTTCAATTGCTTTTTGGTTTTCTTCTTTGACAGGTCTTGGCTCGTGGGCAGCTCTTCAGCAATCCCAACTGGACCCTCACACCAAAAGGCACCATGATAGTGATGGCTCACGTCACTGCAGTCCCCGGATTGGGGTCAACTGCCACCAGTCCAGCTGTGGCTCCCAACTTCTCCTGGATGCCGGAGGATGGTAGCCCCACGGCTGGGGAGCAGCCAATATTCCTCATGACCACCGCTGCTCAGGCCATCTCAGGTTTCTTTGTATGGACAGCTTTGCTCATCACCTGCCATCAGGTAAACCCTATCACTCGTACTTCTCATCCTTTTCTTTTCACCACATGGAAGAACACATATGATCCCCTGGCATCTGTCTGCCAAATACAGCTGTGTGATGGGGATTTGCAGACTCTGGAGTGGTACCAGGACCTCTTCTTTGGGGTCTAATATATTGTCTGTGCCGATTAAGGTGGCAACTTTTATATGAAGGCCTTTTTCTGCCCAGGTTCAGACCATTTCTGTAGTGTGAATGGAGAGGAAGCAAACCCTTTAAAACTAGTAGGTGTAAACCATTTGGCCGTCTCTTGAGTGTTTGCAGAAAGGTGTGTTATCTCAAGCCATCCTTTCCCAGGTCTTGTAGCTGAATCGAGCCATTTCATTATTGTGTCAGCTGTTAGCTAAATGATCGTGGTCATCTGTTGTTTGACATACCTCCTTTGATCTCCTGTGCCAGTGGATTCCATGGGCTGAACTCCACTGCGGAAAGGAGTAGCAGGAAATGTTTTATTTTAATTTTTCTCCCCTCCCCTCTTTCTGGGGCAGGTGTCCTGGGAGCCAGAACAAGTCAAACCCTGTATCCTGTTCTGTACCTCTCTTTCATGCGGTTGTCATGTGAACTGAAAAACACAGTGGAGAAATGCAAGCCCTGTTATTTATCAACCTGTGTTTTGTACCTGTTGGTCCGTAGATTCCAGAGTGATGACTAGGATCTAGAAAACTACAGCCTATTGATGGAGTACAGGGGCTAGTGAAGTTCAAAAATGGATTAGTCACTGATGAATAAGAGTAACACCTGCAGTTTTACCAGCTTGGGTAACAATTACAAGTGCTATGGATCCTCCTGTCAAATTGATCGCCTGCTGAGGGTAGGAAGAAATCTTTCCTCTGCAGTATAGCATTGCACAGTTAGGCATTAATGCCCTTCTCCAAAGAATGCAATGGAGGACAGCGCCAGAGAGACGCTGTTGATTGAAATGCGCTGTTGTCCTGTTACAAGACAGCAGTTCCTGTGCTCTCGTAGGCGCACGGATCGCAGGGCTCTTGTGACATCCCAAGGGCAAAGCTTGGAGTCATCTGAACTCTGGTGTCAGCTGTCCCTGTGCTGGATGAGCTGTGTCACTGGGATCATCGCAAGGAAAAAATCCCTAAGGTTTGTTAGTTTATTTTCAACCTGTTCTCCTCAGGAAAGGAGGCTTTCGTGAGCTCCTCGTGGGTTAGGGAGAGGAAGCAGAAGTATTTTGAGCCCTTCAGTTGATTTTGACCAGATCTGGGCAAGAGGCAGGGAGAGATGAGCAACAGACAGCTGGGAAGAGACAACCCCCTCTCATGTATGAGGGAAAGGCGAGATCGTCGATGCATGCTTCGTTAGGCCCTGGAGAATCCTCGCAGCACCCCCAAATGCAGGGTGAAGCTTCAGGCAAATGCTTGTGCCTCTTCAGGCAGCAAAATCGGTCAGTCGTGAGGCACGTGTGTAATAAACTAGCTGTTAGTAATTCCAGCAGTTGGGGCAGCAGCTTGATGAGGGTTGCCGTATGGAGGCCTTGCCTCTGGAGAACGTGCCCTCTGCTGACTCTGTGGCCAACAGAGCATACCTGCAGCCCGTGCCGAAGCGCTGGCTGTGTTATTAGGTCATTACAGGAGTGGTGCTCATCTTCAGGGTATGCTTGTGGTCAGTACCTTTTCCAGGAGGTGGGTGTTCTGTGAAAAAGCATCTTAGGTGTGGGATTTAATGATGGCTAACAAACTGTGAGCGGTGGGAGCAGGTAGGGTGGGGACGTTGCACTCCCCCCAGCCAGTGACTTAGAGGGATTGGCATGTGTGCAGACAGTTGGACAAAATGAGCAGTGTGGCTGCGTTGTTCCTTCGAGCACAGTGCACGAGCTCGGTGCTCACTTGATGGCTGATGCTTCGTGGCTGTGCTGTCACCAGCGTGCAGAACGGCACTTTTTGAGCAGATGGGCTGTGGCTTATCAGCTCTTGGCAGTGCTGTGAAGGGCTCTCTTAGGTTGTTTCAGGTGAAAGTCTCGGAAGTGTTCAAAACTCACAAGAGAGTGAGAGTGTTTACAATGAGCATGCACTCAAGTGCATGCACCTTCCCTCTTAAGAGAAAAGCGGGCTGCAGTGTTATGAATCTTAGGTACTTAAAACAGGATAGCAGGAATATGGGGTTGATAACCGGGGGAAAAAGGTATGAACAAAAGAATATGGGCAAAGTAGTGATAATAACAGTAAATTAATTCCCTATAAGAAAACAGATTAGAAATGCCTCCACTTCTTTTTTTCTTCTCCTTACCACTCTCTGCAAACTAAGGGATGCTATATGGATGCCATAAGATAATAGTGATTTTTTTTTTTTTTTAATGCTTATCACCTTGAGGCTGCTGGAGGTAATCAAGAGGTGATTTACTGAGTGTTTTTCCTGGCCCAATTGACTCTCCAGTTCCACTTTCTCCTCTCTATTCCATATACCGCTGATCCTGGTCTCCCCTCTCCGTCCTCCCAGATCTACATGCATCTTCGCTGCTATAGCTGCCCAAATGAACAGCGCTACATTGTTCGGATCCTCTTCATTGTGCCCATTTACGCCTTTGACTCGTGGCTCAGTCTCCTGTTCTTCACCAATGACCAGTACTATGTTTACTTTGGCACAGTGCGGGACTGCTATGAAGGTAAGGAGGGGTCAGACAGAAAATGGGGGAGGTGGGAAGTCTCTGCCCTGAGAGAATTTTGGCTTCTGGTTGGGCACATGGAGAAAGCATCTCTGTCACCTACTCAGACAAAGTTTTACAATGTGCTTGACTGGTTGACCATGGCTTGCTCAGTGACAGAAAATCATAGAATCATAGGATGATATGGGCTGGGAAGGACCTTTAAAGATCATCTACTGCAACCTCCCTGCCATCGGCTGGGACATCTTTCACTAGATCAGGTTGCTCAAAGCCCTGTCCAACCTGACCTTCTCCCTCACTGGCCTCTGAGCATGACAAGATGTGTTGAGCCTTCTCTCTGATGTTCTGTAGAGACAAAGTTTACGATTTTTTTGGGTCCTTTGCTTCAGGAAGGTGTAAAGCCAAAAATCTGATTCTAGCTGTGTGTTTAAAGCAATTAGCTCCTGGCTCTTGGAACAGCACGCACTTAGCAGCCAGATGCTTGCTTTGTCCAGTTTTCCTGGCACAGTTTGTTAGTGACGTATTCTTCTGGTCCCATCCTGTGGCCACTTGTGTGATCACGCAGGGTAGCACAGCCACCACCTGCTGGTGTTGGTGAGATGTAAAGTGCTTTGGAGTCCTGCAGGAGACAGGGGGCCATGTTCAGGATGAGTTACCGATTGCTTCGCTTTCAGTTATCTGTTGCAGATGGTAACACTAGCATTTTATGTGGGGGAAACAGTTGCTCTCCAATAAATGCTATCTAAAATTCCCTCCTGATCTCATCCAGAAAGGAGCCTTCTACCCATCCAGCAGGAGAAACTGCACTCTAGCAGTGTACTTTTGAGGACAGTTTATCACCGTACCCTCATTAAATCATACTCATTGGTGCAGTTGTTTTGGCAAGATCTGCATTGCAGAGAGGTGCCCCTGGCCGTGTGAACAAGTTAATCAGCTGAAGGGACCAGCAGGCCCTCCTTCACATCCACAACAATGCTCCGAGATGCAGCAGCAGATGGCAAACGTGCACACGTGATTCAGAAGGCATCTTTGTTTGGGCCTGGGTTTTTTTTTCTCCGTTCCTTCCCTGCCCTGGGCATGTGTGTAGGTCTAGCAGGAATCTTGCTGCTCTGCGAAACTCCTCTCCTAGCAACGGCCAGTATCCCTCTGTCTCGCTTGCTCAGGGAGCTTTCAAACATCTGAGTGTCTGCTCAGGAGGCAGCCCATGCTCCAGAGTTCACCTCGGCACACTGGGCTGTGAGAAAAGACTACAGGCGAAAGTGAAAGCACCTTCGGTCAGCAGGTTCTCTCCCTCACTTTTTCTGGGGACTGCTTTGAAACAGCCTTTTTGTTCTCTGCCTTCCCTTGCCATCCACCTTATAATTTCATTTTTGGGAAGGTATTAGGTTGCAAAGTGGAGAGAGCCCTCTTAGGGAACAGGGGGAGAAGACCCTGTTAATAAATTTCGAAAGCTGTCTTGGGCCATTTATGGGCTACATTTCATAGTGTGTGTTAGGAGGAGCATGTTTTGGTGTTGCTCTTTCACATGACTCTGCTTCTGTACAAACCTGGGTGTCAGTAACACTGACACTAGTAGATTTTTTTTTTTTTTGTTATGTTGATGTCATGAACACCATCTGATGAATGTGGATCAGGAATGGGAGAAGAGTGCTTTTGCTGGTGTGGTGAACTTTGATAGCTAGCGCTCACTTCTTTTGGGGATGGAGGGGCAGATATTTCCCCCTCTTTTTTTTTTCTTTTGTTGTTTTGTTTTCTTCCTCTGATGTCATCTCTTCCCTAGTGCTTGTGGAATGGGCAGCTGGTATTGTAATGACCACATCAGAGGGCAGGGGTCACTGGAGGACAATAGGAAAAGCTCAGCTTTTCTTCCTCTGGGTGCTGGGAGCTGTCAGCTACGTTGCAGAAAAATTGCAGGCAAAAGGGGTTAGCACAATTAAATAAGTTTTCCATGATTGGTGTTTTCTCTCCTAATTAAGGCTTTAGCAAAATCACTGCTGTGTAAACATACCTAACTTCATTCAGTAACAAGGATTACAGATGGAATAACAATATCCCAATTACATACATAGAAGCAGGTATACCACTGGCTTTTATGTGCTGTAGCATTCTTGCCAGCTAGGCACATCTACAAGCCATAAACATAATGTTTTGAGACTGTGACCATTTGGGGGAGCGTTGAGTACCTCTTTTCCATAATTTGAAAACTATGGCATAGCTTGGAATCTTGTAGAAGAATTAGAGTTGATGTCTGTCTCTGGCTTTGGAAGTTCATCCACGTGAGAAAATTGACCTCAGGTCTAATAACTGGCTGCTTGGTGAGGTCAGCTTCTGAACACTGTACATTATTAGGCTTTTGTTCTTATGTCAAAGTTTCTCGAGACTTCTGTTTCCATCCCAAGTTATTTTCTCTTTGTATTATGTCAGTGCTGGGGACCAAAACCAGGATTTGGGTGTTGGCGTGCCAGGGAATGTCTATCATAGAAAATAACATTGAAAGAAGGGTCACCTGGTCTGTCATTTTGCCCCAAGGCTGTATGTGGCAAACTCAGGAGTACAGTCCTTACCCTAAAAATCTCACAACTGTGTGAGGGTCCAGCAGCGACTATAACAAGTCGAGATTGGCAGACAGGGCATGTACAGGCTTACTGCATGCACAATTAAGTGGGTTTGGATCCCATGAAAAGGAAACATGTCTGTAGTTATGAGGAGAGCCCCCCTCGCCCAGTGTCTTCACCTCAGTTTATATGTATTGGCAAAACTGAGCCTTGAAGAGAATTGAAATGGGGCAGAGTAGTAGCGGTCAGTCTGAGAAGGCTCTTCCTCATCTGTACCAGGTAGCTAGGGAAGGCAGAAAAGAGGTGCAAGAAATTTTAGCTTTCTGAGGAAATGAAGCACAGAGCCTGTTTTTAAAAAATCTCCACCAGACATGAAAACAGAGTTTCACTGATTGGTAAAAACCCTCTGTTTCTCCAGCTCTTATGTCTGTAGTCTGGTTACCTCGGAGACAGAAACTGTGTTCATCACCTAAAAGGTTAAATACAGGAGATAAGATATGGTTGATGGATCAGAGATAACTTTTCCAAATTATTTAGTACCGGTGTAATGTCCCGGAATAAAGCACAGGAACCCTGTAAAGAATGGCATCTTACAGATGCCAAGTAAAACAGACTGACCAGAATTTTAAATGGTCCTGTGACCCTTTTGGCATGAGTCATGGAACTGGCCTGGGACCATGGCCAAACTCCAGTTCAGATAGTCTTGCGAGTGCTGAGGTAGGATGATAAATGCAGTGAAAATAATCTGGAGTGCTTTGAAGGGAAAGATGCTGCATAAGCAGTCACTGCTAATGTTTGGTCTGTTGCCTGTACTCTTGGTCCTTGCACCTGTTTTGAAGTTGGTTGTCATTTTACTCTGATTGATGTCTTTGCAGCCTTTGTAATATACAACTTTCTCAGCCTGTGCTATGAGTACTTGGGAGGGGAGAGCTCCATCATGTCTGAGATCAGAGGGAAACCAATTGAGTGAGTATTTATTGTGCTTACAGCATGACGCTCTCCTCCTTCTGTGCCCATCTACCATGCCTCTATCCTTGCCCTGAAAAACTGTGTCAGGTGGCAAATGTCTGCTGGGACTGGGCAGCATGGATGGTGATGATTTACCAGGACTCTGCTCTGAGACCGATCAGGCTGATCACATCCTCTTAGGCAAGCTGGACTGATTCACAGCTTTTCTGGACACCTGCCTACTCCTTTGTTTCTTTTCTTATTCCCTTCTCCTACTTTAAATCTGTCTTCAGTTCGTTGTGTGTGCTTCCTCTAGGACCTGTGTTTCTCCCCATGCTACTCAGTTAAAAAAAAAAAAAAAAAAAAAAATTGAAGTGTGGAGTCAGGGTGTTGTTTTAAACATGTCTCTGAAAGAGGGTATGGCTGTAATTGTAATCATGGTTGGAGAAAGCACCAGTCCTGCAACTTTGCTACAGAGAGGTAGACAAAGAGGGTAGGAATCTTGCACTCTACTCCAAATCTTGCTTCTGAACCCTGTCATCTTGTGTTGGCTCTTTCAGGTCCAGCTGTGTATACGGGACTTGCTGCCTGTGGGGAAAGACTTATTCGATTGGATTCCTGAGGTTCTGCAAACAGGTATGGGCTGGAGGAACTGTGCCATCCTCTAGAAATGAATGAAGTGTGTGTGGGTGGCGATGGTGCCTTTTGCTGCTGAACTTCTGAGATGAGCACTCCTTTGAGGGGGTTTATAATATCATTTTGAGAGGCCTGCAGGCTGCTGAGAAGAGGGTTTTTTTTGTTTTGAATGATCTTAGCATTTTCTACTCAACCCCGTATCAGGAAGGCCTTAGCAAAAGACCCAATTTATCTCTTGGATCTGATGTTAGCCCTGGGAAGAAATTCTGATTTCCCCTTCCCTTTCTGGATTGCAGAGGTCCCACCTTTTAAGAAATTGATGGCCGTGTTGTGTTGCAGACACCCCACAGTTGTGTAACAGCCTCCTGAATTCCCAGTGCTGCTGTTGTGGTTTGGAGTTGAGGAGGGGGTGGAGGTTAAGCGTGACACAACGCTTTGTAGGAGGAACCGAGTATTGCTCACCATGTGTGTCTGTCTGTGCTGAATTGGGTATGTTGAGGAGGAGGGAATGGGGGAGATCTAAACCGCGATACAGCCCTTGTCTGCTCATCCCAGGTCAGTCACCTCTGGCTGCCATGAAACAGCAGCTGATTTTCAAGGCTTTGCTCACTTGCTGAAATGAACACATGAGGTTTCTCTGGAGACAGCGTGAAGCAGGTCTGGTTCTTTTAAATGGCTCAGGTCACTGTAATTCCAGTCACTGGGTCTAGATATCTGCCCTGGCTTCTCTTCCACATCATGCCCCATCTTCTGTGTTTTAGCCATATGCAGGAACATCAAAGGTACAATGCAGCCTCATAGTAATATCCAGTCTTAATCTCTGCAGCATGAATCGCCTTTTTCAAAGGACCACATCTATCTTTTCTTTGTTGTGTATTCTTTCCTCATGGCTTTCCTCCTTTTCTTCCCTGATACTTCTATTTTCTAAGCTGTTCCCAGTATGCTGCTTTACCTGTTTCTCTCGGGCTTCATTTGTACACCCTGTGTTTGATTTGATGCATTATCTATTCTTTTTGCTCCTAATGTTAACTTTCACCTTTTAAATATGTCATAAGCAAACATAACACCCATCAAGTTGAATGAGTGCTGGAGAAATAATTTCCCTTAGACCTCTTGTTTCTCTTGTCCCACAGCCTCTGGCAGTTATCTCCACATGGATTGCACCTGGCTGTGTTTGGAAAGGTTTTTTTTTTTTTTTCACAACAATGAAGACTAGAAGCACTTTTATGGGGGGGGGGGGGGGGGGGGGGGGGGGGGGGGGGGGGGGGGGGGGGGGGGGGGGGGGGGGGGGGGGGGGGGGGGGGGGGGGGGGGGGGGGGGGGGGGGGGGGGGGGGGGGGGGGGGGGGGGGGGGGGGGGGGGGGGGGGGGGGGGGGGGGGGGGGGGGGGGGGGGGGGGGGGGGGGGGGGGGGGGGGGGGGGGGGGGGGGGGGGGGGGGGGGGGGGGGGGGGGGGGGGGGGGGGGGGGGGGGGGGGGGGGGGGGGGGGGGGGGGGGGGGGGGGAGGAGGATTCTGCCTGCTTCCACAAATCCTCAGTTCACTTGGTAACTCAGGCTTAGGTGGATATTTTGCTTTTGCTTTGCTGCTATCTGGCAGCAATTCTTCTAGTCAGGCCTGCCCTTTACAAACTGCTAATTCTGCTGTAGAGGCTGTGAGGGAGGTGTCTTGCAAAGGGATGTTTAAGTACTTCCGTCCTTCTTGGCTCGAGCTTAAATGTTGCCTTGGTGAGAAGTCTTCGGCACCAAGACTCACTTTCTAGTACTTTAGACTTCCAGGATCGCCGAGAAAGACCTTTCAAGGCAAATTCCTGTGTAGGCTGGTGCAAAAGGGCAGCAGAGCAGATCTCTGTGCTGATCTGTGCAGTATCCACCGTCATGGCAATCAGGCTGGAAGGAGCACCTTGCCCATTTTATCCCTGCTCTCAGCATCTTCAGCACTCCTGTTGCCTCCCACCACCACCTGCCCATTTTCTGCTCTTTCCAGCCCTTTTCATCCTGAAGGAATCTGCGTGTTATAACCATTCCTTCTTTCCGTCTTCACTCCCACCCCAAGCTGTTCTCAGGCAGGTGTCTGCTGTGGGTCAGTCAGTTTGCTTGCGTTGCCTGTGGCCCTCCAGCAGCTGGTGGCTGCGGTGTAAAATCTGGACAGCTTGTTTCTTTAAAGATGTCTTGATCAAGATTCTTTGCTGGTTCTGTCTGGTGACCCTCACAGATGGGTCACACACCATCCATGTGCTTCCCGTATGCTGTGGCATCTCCTAGGGAAGCAACTAAAAATAGGACGTGGTGGTTTGGATTGCAGGGAAACAGTTAAAACATCCCCAGATTGGAAGGAGGGGAAGCTCAGAGGACAGAGTTGTTTACCAATTAGCTTGACCTTTTCCAGTTCACATATTTACAGTGACTCACTAACTGGCATGTGCTGGGGTTTTTAATCTCCTTGAAGTCTTATGACCACTAACAAATTGCATCGTATCCAAAGCAATTGCTCCTGTTTTTGGTTTTGCCTTCTTTCCATACACAGCCCTCCCCACATGTGTGCAGGTCAGCACCTGCCCAGGCTCTTCCAGCCCCCTTCTGGGAGACATGGGTGACATTTTTAGGGTCACAACCCTCCACTCTCTTTAGCAGTCCAACTCCTAAGAACTGAAGTTCAACATCTCCAGAAAGATGAAGAATGGAGTGGCTTTGAGAGGAGTTGTCCCAATAGGAGCAGTGATTTATATTGGCAGACTGGATAGAGCTGATCCCAAGTGCCACGGAGCCTTTGGGGAGATTCAGTAAAGGTCGTGTGGGCGACAACAGAATAGCTCTTAACTTCTGTCTGGCAACACACATCACTGTGTATACAAAATGCATTAATATGGTGGCAGTTGCCAAAGTTCCTCCTCAGAGAGCTGGGTTCCCCTCCTATCCAGGGGACCTTCTTGCCTAGCTTTGCAGCAACTGTGGATTGGAGTTGGCTTCCCTTCCCCAGTATCCCTTTGTTAAACTTGCTGTGTCCGTACCATAGCACAGTGTAGCATTTTTTGTTTGTCCTGCTGTTACTGTGCGTAAATGTGCTGCAGCACAGTCTATGAAAAAACAGCTCTGGAAGACAGCAGCTGAGCAGCTTCCAGGAACAACCTACAGAGTGGTTTTTCTTACCATTTTGGGCAATTAGATAGCACGCATTTCTTCTGAATCTCCTCTGTCTCCTTTTGGGTGCTGCAGTCCTCAAGCAAGTGGCGGGGTTAGACTCCTTGTTGGGGCTGGATTATGCTGCCTTGCCAAGTTGTCCCAGTGGACGCTCCATCATCACTCCATCATGGATCTGGTTTGGGAGCTTGGCCTCTTGCACCTCCTGCCTTCTCATTCCTCCTCTCTCATTCTTGTAGGCTACCCTGCAGTTCTGTGTGGTGAAGCCCCTCATGGCGATCAGCACAGTCATCCTTCAGGCCTTCGGCAAGTACCAGGATGGTGACTTTGAGTAAGTTCGTTTGTCTAGTGTGCGAGCCTCAGCTGCCCCTTCTCTGCCCAGCTGTGCTTATGGTCCGTGTGTGTGCTGGGCCATGGGAAAAGACAGGGGGACAACACGGGCTGAATATGCATGTGTGAAAAGAGGGCAGGGGTAAGCCTGTTGGTTTCAGGTTTTTTTTCTGCCTCACTTTGGGTGAGGGAATGGGACAGCGGGGCAGGAAGGAAACGGAGTCTTAAAACTCCCCAGTGACAGCAGCAAGGGGAAAAGACGATGCTGAAATTTCAGGCATTCATGTATCTTCTCTTTTCAGTGTAACCAGTGGCTACCTCTACGTGACGATCATCTACAACATCTCTGTCAGCCTGGCACTGTATGCCCTCTTCCTTTTCTACTTCGCCACACGCGAGCTGCTCAGTCCTTACAGCCCAGTACTCAAGTTCTTCATGGTGAAGTCTGTCATCTTCCTGTCCTTCTGGCAAGGTGAGCTGCTTTTCCCTTCCCTTGGTAGGCACGAAGAGCTCTCTGCAGGGGCTCAGACACTGGAGTTGATAGAGCAGATCCTGATTAATAGCCAGAATGTCTTTCTGTATTATTATTATTATTGTTGTTGTTGTTATTATCATTATTATTATATTTGTTTTATAGTTTTTCATTGCTTTTCTCTGGGAAACATATTTTGCTCATTTTCATCTTTGTTTATATGCTCCTGAATCCTCACTATCCCTGTCCGTGTGCATGTGCACACACACATCTGCCTGGCAAAATCAGCTGTTTGGATGAAGAGTCTTTTGCATTCCTGGAACAACCATAAAGCACAAGCTGCCAAAATTTTATCTGCATGCTGCCATTTTATTGATTAAAGTAGCTCATCTAAAAATTTTTAGTACTTTTTTTTTTAGTGCTCTATAAATAAAATTTTAATGGTATGTCTGTGATTCATGTGAAGCAGCAAGCTGCCTGAATGCAGTGCGTGCTGCCACAGAACCACTATGGAGCGGAAGGACATTCAGAATACGTACACATGATGCAGAGGCACATTCAGAAAGCTGAAATTCCGCCTAAGCTTAGTGCTTCTTACTAATTAGCTCTAAGCATTTCCCTGTTCAATGCCCTACTTAGGTTTACTGAGTTGCACTTCAAAGACTAATTGGGTAGGAACTTATGTGGAATTCAGGCTGTTGGAGTATGGCCCATCGTCCCCGGCTACAGACAAACTAATAAACTGTCTAGTTTGTCATCTTGAGCCATCTGGTCACACACTTTCTGCCTTCTCTGGAATTCTTCAGCCACCTGGCTATAGAGGGGGAGAAACATCTTTCTTGCAATCGTGTGTCAAAACCGCTTTATGCTTAAATGATAAGCTCTGTTACTTCAATTTTTGCTTTAGTTAGTGGACGTGCTGAGATCACAGAAGCGCTCACAGAAATATCTGGCTGCTTCTTACCCTTTTGGACTTATTAAGTCCTGCAGCAGCTAGTTCCACAGATTATGTGTCAGTTGAGAATGGAAGAGGGTCAGTGTTTGAACATTCTTTGCTTAAACATATTTATTCCTACTTTCTCTATTGTACAGGTGAGCGTAGATGGGAGTATCTAGACCGCTCTGTTTGTAGCTCCCATGTTAAATGCATTTGCATCTGGGACTTACAGCACAGACAGCTATTTCCATTCCTTACAGTTATATGCAGTCATGTTTTCTGCACACTTACATGAGCTCATTGCTTTGTTTAGGGATGCTGTTGGCCATCTTGGAAAAGTGTGGTGCCATCCCCAAAATCCACTCTGCCAATGTGTCTGTGGGTGAAGGCACAGTAGCTGCTGGGTATCAGGACTTCATCATTTGCGTGGAGATGTTCTTTGCAGCCATCGCCCTGCGCCATGCCTTCACATACAAGGTGTATGTGGACAAGAGACTTGATGCCCAAGGTAGGAAATATGCCAGTGCAAATGGCATGTCTATTTGGTAGCGAGACTGGGTGGAGACTGGTTCCTCTGGCAGCCGCCACACTGATATGACTCCCAACCTGAATGCTTGGAAAACATCACATCCCCTCCTCTGTGGTGTCTGAACAGATTCATTGTGCAATGGCTCTGCAGGGCAGAAACCTTGCCTGAATTGCGTTGTTCCCTTTTCAGTTCCCCTGTATGCCACCCACGGCAGTTTGTTGCAGACCTGAGGGCTGCAAGAAGTTGCGTCCTTTTGGTAGAGTGGGTTTGTCCTTCTTCCTGTCTCCTCAAAGGGGAACTCCATTGCTCCAGATTGTGCAACAGACTGAAGGCAGGAGGGACAGGGCCTGAAACAGGCTCTGTTTTGAATCTGGCTCAGGAAGATGAGGCTGTGCTTTGGCAATATGTTTGTCTTGGAGGAGGAGGATCTTCCTGTAACGACTTTGTGAGGGCTGGGTTGTTAGAAGCCTTATTCTGGGGAAGAGAGAGGTGGATGTTATCTCTGGGGAAAGGGGGTTCTTGTGCCCAGTCTATGCAAGTACATTCAGTGTTCTCCAAATAAAGGGGTTCCTTCCTGCTGGACTCTGTGCTGAGGCGTGGGAAGACAGCAGCCCTTGGGCAGTGTTCACGTAGATGATCCCTCCATCCCAGCCAGCCCCAGAGGTTTGGGAAGGACAGTGGCTGCAGCTGGGGGAGATGAGATTTGTGAGTGATGACAGGGTAAACTGCTGGCCGGTACAGTGGGCGATGTTTTGATGGAGGGTCTTGTTCAGTTCTTGTTATTTCCTCTCTCTTTCTCTCTTTCGTTCTCTGTCTCTCTCTCTCTCCTCTCCCTTTTATCTCTCCCTTGCTTTGGCCACTGGTCCCTGATGCAGCTGTTCCATCATATGGGCCATACGGTAGGTACAGCATGATCTGTGTGTTTGTCTCCGTTGGTTTTTAACTGGGATGCTGTTCTGTCCTGATTCTCAGCCCACCTACTGCCTGCTCTGTCCCTTGTTCCCCCTTCCTTGTAGGTCTGTAACTCGACTGCCTCACACAGCTGCTTTAGGGTTGTCTGGATCATAAGTTGTAAAACAGCCCCGTGGGCAGTGGCATAACACCTCGCTTTAGAGCGTTTCTATCAGGACTGTGTGAATCTCTCTCCAAAGAGTTGCACAGGCTCTCAAAGGAGCTGGTTTGAGCTCTCACCCCAGCTTCCCTTCACTTTCATAATTGCCACAGATGATCAGCGTGCTTTGGTCATTTGGGGAGCTCATCCCCAGGACTGAGCAGAACCAGAAGTCCACGCTGGAAATGGGACCTAGAAGCCATGAGAAATGGCAGCTCCTAGAAGGACGCGTAGCCTTCCTCTGTGCTCAATCTCCAACTGTTGCTTCCTTCACGGTGTCACTGTGACACCCTCCACCTATGGGGTGGTTCTGCCTCTAGTACTGCCTGTTCCCCTCCTTCCCCTCCTTTGCACTGCTTTCCACTTTTATGACCTCATTCCTGCGGGCACTGATAGCGCCTATCAGTCTAATTTCCAGTGAGTGGGAATAGAAAATTCCATTTCTCCTATATTTTTAGAATTTCCTTGGTTTTTGTCTTCTGAAACCCTTTACAGGAGCACCTCCCTACCTGATTGTCTTCGTTTGCACACCCAAGCCAGCACAGGTAGTGTGTAGTGGAAGTTGTCACTGTGGGTGTGTCCCATTCTCATGGCATGTTCCCCATTTGGTGCTGAGGTGGATTCACTTGGCTAGCAGTGGCTGGATTTAGGAGCACTACTGGTAAAACTTGACACCATTTGCGTGGCATTTCCTCAGCAGCTGCTTAAGGAAGTCTGTAAAGTACCTTCTGCAGGATCTAGGAGTGCATGTTCCCTGTTCTCCTTACTTTCTTGTTAAGGGGTGTGGGGGAAGGCAGCAGTATTCTTCACTTGTCCCTCCCCATCTTACCCCAACAGGTCGCTGTGCTCCCATGAAGAGCATCTCCAGCAGCCTCAAGGAGACCATGAACCCCCATGACATTGTCCAAGATGCAATTCACAACTTCTCCCCAGCCTACCAGCAGTACACCCAGCAGTCAACGCTGGAGCATGGTCCACCCTGGCGCAACGGCAGTCACGTTATCTCACGCTCCCACAGCTGCTCGGGTGCCCGTGACAACGAGAAGACCCTCTTGCTGAGTTCTGACGATGAATTCTAGGAGGGGAAGCTGCCAGCACAGGCTGTCATTTTCCTTCTTTTGTTGTTTTTATTTTTTTTTTAATTTATTGAAGCAGAAACATGCAAGTCATATCACTTCCTAGAGAGCGCAGATTGCAGAAGTGGGCACTTCCCATTAGCTTTTGTGGGTACGGACATGATGAGCAGTACAGAGGTAGGGGAATGGCCAGGACTCCATTCTCAAGCCCATTCCTTACAGCAGCAATCGACTGGAATTAATTGAAGCAAGCTCTAGGGTTTGGGGCTCTGGCCTCCCATACCTGCCCAGCTTGGTGTGGAGCGTGACTGGCCAGAGCCCAGAGTTGTGGCCAAAAATGTTTTTGGTTTGGTGTTGTTTTGTTTTATTTTTATTTTTTTTTTTCCAACTGGACAATGTGACTGCTTTGTATTCCTCTTCCTGAATGGTTGATGTAGGCACAGTTTTCTCCCCCAGCTCCCTGGTACTAACATCTCTGTGATCCTTGGGAAATGGGATTAGGATGCAGCGATAAGCATTCCTGAGGACCAGACCAGAGACTGGTCTCTCTATAGCCATTGCCTTGAATACTTAGTAAGGAACATCTGCCCTCACCCTCCTAAGCACCTGATTGTGCAGTCCTGTGCTTGAGCCAGTGAGGGGAAAAAGGACAGGACTTTCTTCCTGTTCCTCCAGTCCCTGCATCTCCCTTGCTGCCCATCAAAGCAGATGCTTGTCGAAGCTCAGCAGGGATGGAATTGCTGTCTCGCAAGGGCGGGGTTTTCTAATCACCAGGTGTCCAAGCTTCCCACCTCCCCTGCGTTCCTGTGGCAAGAAGCCTCCCTGGAGCATGTCTCCTGCTAACAAGACTGAGGACTGGCCACGATAGGTGGTGGAAGTTTGTAGAGCTTTCATCCCTCTTTGGGAAAGGAAGATGTGTAAACACTAAAATGTTTTTTTTTCTTCTTGTTTCTTGTCCCCCGCCAACATAGCTGCCCCTCTTAAAGGTGTGGATTGGACCAGGTAGCTGCCAGAGCAGGTCCTGGTCTCTTGCAGGTAGCGCTCCCCATCCTTGTCATCACTGACTTGCCCTGTGAGCTGCACAAGTTTTGCCCTTAGGCTGGAGTATTCAGGAAGAGATGTTGCACACTCCTCCTTTGCTTTTTATCTCCATAGCTGTTCCGGGCCAAACTGGAATAGACTTGAAACCTGACATGACCTAGCTGGTTAAAATTGTCCCTCTTAGTTTCCCAGGTAGCAGTTGCTGCTGCACACTTCACAGGCCCTGCAGCAAATGCAATGCTATCAAGGGTGGAGTCAGCATCCACGGGAGTGGAAAAAGAAGCTTCCCCTTGCTTTTGTAGGGTTTTGAATTGGCCCCTAGGAATTTAGTGGAGCCAAAATAAAAATGATCCCTCTCTAGATCTAACCAGGGACCAGGAAATACCTCTTGCTTGCTTAAAATTGTCTAGGGGAGGAGGGGGGAGCACACTCAAGTGCCATAGATCAGATGCCCCTACCCCCAAGCAGGACACAAAATGCAGAGACTGGAGCAAGCCGCTGCGTTCTTGGCTGTAGTTTCTCTGTTCCTCTCCCGCTTGATGCCTACCCTGCCATCAGCAGACCTGCGCATTTCCAGATTGCCCCTCGCTGCTCTGCTGGGAGAACTGGGGCCTGGTTTACTGCCTGGAGTTTACCTTTCCTCTTGTATCCTAATCTATGTGCTTGCTCATTTGCTTTCTCAGAAGCGACTGTGAGTGAAGAGCACCTCATTTCCTCAGCACCCCTGCCAGAAGCTGGTGGTCAGGAACAGGGGGAAAAGGGCTTGAAGAGAGGTGGGTTTGCTCCCTGCTATGAAGATAAGTTGGGGGAAGATGTAAGGACAGCGTCTTCTTCCGTACTCGCCGCTCTGAGGGAGCTGGAGGCAGGGTCAGTGGATCCAGCAGCTTCTCTGCTGCTGGATTTCCCCATTTGCACACATCCTGCGATGCCACGCAGTTAGTTACTGCTTTTCCCAAATCTGTCGCTGCTTAAATGGACATGCAAACGCTATCTGCCAGGCTTTGTGTGGGCTTGGTGTAAAACTCTTCCTTTTCCTCATGCCATAAGCCGCCTGGAAAGCAGGGCTGAAGACTGAATGGGCTTTCCTTCCATCTTCCATGGCTTTGATTAATAGTCCTTTAGTGTGAGGTTTTTAAACTTCCCCTCTGTCTTAGGAAAGGGGGGCATGGGACATGATCCCTTCTTCCCCTTTCCTTGCATTTGCAGGCCTTGTGTCCCAGTGTCACTTAATTGGTGACTGTCCCCAATCTTTGTTGGGTGGCCGAGATCTGAAATCTCTGGGATTGCCCCGCTGAAGATGATCCAGGCTTGGGGAAGCATTTTTTTTTTTTTTAAAATTTTTTTGAAATTTTTGCTTATATATATATATATTGTGTGGAAAGGGTCTGGGTATTCTCGAAACTTTCCGTACGGTGGGGGTTTCCTCATGCCATAAGCCGCCTGGAAAGCAGGGCTGAAGACTGAATGGGCTTTCCTTCCATCTTCCATGGCTTTGATTAATAGTCCTTTAGTGTGAGGTTTTTAAACTTCCCCTCTGTCTTAGGAAAGGGGGGCATGGGACATGATCCCTTCTTCCCCTTTCCTTGCATTTGCAGGCCTTGTGTCCCAGTGTCACTTAATTGGTGACTGTCCCCAATCTTTGTTGGGTGGCCGAGATCTGAAATCTCTGGGATTGCCCCGCTGAAGATGATCCAGGCTTGGGGAAGCATTTTTTTTTTTTTTTAAAATTCTTTTGAAATGTATGCTGCATATATATATATATGCTGTGCAGAGGATCTGGATATTCTCGAAGCTTCCTGTACGTAGTGGTTTAAAGTGTAACCCTTTTGCACTAGCTGCCTTTGGAGAAGCCTGGTGAAGAACTAGCACCCAAACAACAGCCAGCTGCCATGCGTTATAATTTTATAGACATATATGTTTTTTAACACCACACAAAATAATCTCTGAGCTTCCTGCTCTCCTTCGCGACAGGCAAGTGCCAGAGCAAGGACTGGCTCTGAAGCTGCTCTGGCTTGGAGGAACAAATATAAGACCCAGAGCTTGAGACCAAGGAGGCCGAGGCGTCTGTGGTCTTGCAGGTCTGCTCGCGGTAGCCCAGGGCCCCAGTAAACATGTTGGTTCCAGGAGTAGGCCCTTGGAGCTGCTCTCCCTCACCTGCTTCCCCTCTCCTTCCTTCCTTTTTGTTTACCATGTAACATACCCATGGGATTTGTTTATTATTTTTCCATATAGAGTAGTTCTTTGTATATAAATGACTGAAAAAAAAATGTATGATAAATAAGACAGAGTCACCTAGTTTTGTACCTATCGTGTTTAACTGATGTGAGCTCAGCGACAAGCCGCTCTCTCTATTTTGGTCTTTGTGACGTTATACTCTGCAGAAATGAGCAAATATGATGACAAATAAAAATATAGAGATAATATAGATTGTACTTAGGCTGCCTCTGCGTGGTGCTGTCTGGGTGACTTCTCTGAACTGATTTTGAGTTTTTGCTCGTTACAGGGGCCGAGGCTTAGTGGGTCAGTGTGTCTTGTCCTCCTAGTCATCTTCTCGAGAGGAAAGCTTCCTGCTGTCTGTGTGTATGCAGGAGCTGATGGAGAAGCGGGGCTACAGCAGCCTGGGGCAAAGATCGCTGATGGCCCAAGGCAGAAGCGAAACCCCTTTGTCAAATACCTTGAGTAGAGATGAGTCCTGATCTTGGGTGCTGGTACAAAACACTTGCGGGAGAAAGGGGGCTGCTTTCTCTGACACAGGCCCCAGCAAACAGCAGCTCCGGGCTTTTCTTCCATGAGTGGTGGTGGGGCTGGGGCGGTTTGCAGTAGCAAGAGGGAACATGAGTGTAAAACCCAGAACCCCGATGTGAGTGCTGCAAGCTCCTGGGAGGCTGGGGCCAGGCCCACCTGGATGTCGGGGAACACGCTCGTTACTTCCACCTCGGCTGCGAGGAAGCGTGGCTTTTCCCCATGGGGAGGAGGTTGGGCTTCATCTCCGGATAAGGTGCCTGCCACGTTTCCTTCCCCTTCTCCTGCCACCCACGGATGTGAGCTCCCTGCTTCTCTCCTCGCTGTTCCTGCATCAGGCAGCGAGGTCACTCGGCAGGGAAGTTTTTGGGTAGAGCTGCCCTGATTGCACCAGCCTCTCCTCCCACACCAGGTCCGAGGGCAGCCTGCAGGGAATTTTTCTAGCAAAAAGCATTATCTTTCCTAGGAAAAGCTGATCCAGCACAGCCAAACTGCTCCTGAAAGCAAGCACTTTGCAGGGTGATGTTCAGCATTAAGCTTGCTTACTGAGCCCTTTTCTTCCAGAGACTATGAATCTGTGTTCTAAAAAGTCATGAGCCCCCAATCCCATCTTTTTGGGGCACCTTCTTGAACCTGTCCTGCAGCAAAACTAGAGGGGGCTAGAAAACCTGGTCTCACTGAAACACAGCTCTACCCTGAAGTTCAAGAATGACCAAACACACGCTCACTGTGGAAAAAAAAAAGAACTTGCTTTATTTGTAAAGTCTACAAAATACAGAGGAGTCAGGTAAGACACATACCGTAAGTCAGAAAATAAATAAGTATTTTTTTGCTCTATATAAGTATAAGATAAAATGTGATTTGCATATATAAAATATAAAGTACAGCTCTGTACCAACATCCTGGCTGTGCCGAGAGGCGGAATGGCAAAGAGGACGTGAAAATAACTTATATTCGTGCAATAAATAAACCCAAGAGGAGTCGGGGTGGGGGGACGCTAACCACAGTGCCCCCTCCACGAGCAACGGGCACCTCTCTCCAGGGAGGGGTGGAGGCTGCAGCCGAGGGTGGCTGGCATGGCGAGACCCAGGCAGGGGCAGAAAGCAGGGGGATCATTGACAGCAGCAGATGCCAAGAGGGGTCTGCCTCCTGTAGCCTCCCCCGTGCTGCCTGTATTTAGCAAACCCAACTCTTCTCCAGCGTTTCAGCCTGCTGAAGAGCCGGTTGTCTCACATGGGTGTCCAAGCTGGAGGAAAAACAGAGGGAGGAGCCTACCTGCCTGCCAGGCAGCTCCCAGGAGCAGGGATGCTCTCCACCCCTGCTTCCCACCTCCTGCACCTCCACCCCTCTCTCTGCCTCCACAGCTCTGGCTCTCGGGGGCCAGGAGGACCTTTCCGTGGGCTTTGTAGGCCGGGGAGCGCTTGGTGGGGCCGTACAATCTGGCCCGTGCAGAGCAAAACAGTGTTTATCTCTGCTCCAGCTGCCTCCGCTTCCTTCCTGCCGGTGCCGCTGTGTTTCAGAGACACCCGGCCGGCCAGGCTGAGCGTCCCGTAGGCAGGAAGAGGCGTGAAGGACGTGCGTGATGGAGAAAGATAAAACAGCACCACTGCTTCTTGCATACGACAGCCTGGGCTGACCTGCCCACGTCCCCCAGCTCTCCCCTGCCCGAGGGTCCCTCCTCCGTCACCGTCACCTCTGGGCTGCCACAGCGCTCTCCCATCCCGCTCACCCTTACCAGGCACCAACCTGCAGCCACTTTCTCTCCCCCTCTGACCTGCCACTTTCCCTTGCCATCTCCATCCCCAGAGGCTCCAGCCACACTGCCGCCTCCCGCCTCGCTCCAGCCACGGTCCAAGTTGCAGGGCCAATGCCAACCTACTCTCCATCATATCCCTTCTGCCCCTCGCTGCAAAACCTCTCTCCCTGGCATATGCTCCTGGGAGCGCCTGGGCCGCACTCAGCTCTCCTGCGCCCTCACCCCCACAAAAAAAAAAAGAGGCACCTGGTGTTTTCCTGCCAGCTTGGAGCCGTGGGATGCTTCCCCGCTGCTGCCTGTGCGGGCTCGCCCTCTCCTGCCTGCACCCCCCCAGGGTGAGGGGCGCCTGGCCAAGGGGGCTGCAGCAGGGGACGGGGCTGGGTCAAAAGGGAGGGGGCTGCGGGGCTTCAGGGGCCACCAGTGGGGTCCTGTCCTCCGCCCCAGCACCCACGCTGCGGCAGCTCTCCCTGCACGGAGGAGCTGGAGGTCAAGGGATGGGAGGAGGAGGATTTCAGGCACAGGTCCCAGTGGGAAGGAGGTCAGGAAGGGTACGGGAGGGGATTTGTGGGGGAAGGTGCCCCGGGGAGGCTGTGCCTGGCCGGGGGACAGAGGCCGACACTAGGAATAGGCGGCCTGGTTGGTGCCGGACTTGACAATGGTGATGACGCTGGCAGTGGCCACCTTGGCGGGGGGCCCATGGGCAGCCACGGTGCGGGCAAAGCCCTGCAGGGCCTCATACTTGCCACGCAGGGTGTCGAGCTCCAGGCGCATGGCGGCGTTTTCCCGGGCCAGCTTGTCCACCTCCCATTCCAGCTCCATCTTCTGCTTCTGCAGCTCTTCCTTCTGGCAGACGCGCTTCACCCGGCAGCTGGCGGCGTAACCCCTGTTCTTGAGTGTCCGCCGGCGCTGCTTCAGCCTCGCCACCTCCTCCTTGGAGAGGCCCCGCAGATGGTGGTTGAGCTCCCGCACCGACAGCCCCATCAGCTCCTCATCTGACAGCAGCGGCGTGTTCTCCCCCAGCTCCCGCTTCACCTGCCGGAGAGAGGGGCGGTTGCCTGAGACCCCCCGAAACCAGACCCCTGCCACCCCAACCGCCCAGTCCCACCGGCGCTCACCTTCAGGGCCTTGCTGGAGAGCCCGTCCGCAGCCATCCTTGCCTCACGCTGGCCCTGCCAGGAGAAAAGCTGGTTACTGCCTGCCCGTGCCCATCGCCCCGGCACAGAGGGCCCCCTGCCCGGTGCCCACGTCCCCCCGCCGGCTGCGTGACTCATCCCTGCTCCTTTAAAGAAAAGTACGTAGTAATAATAATAGTAATAACGACTGCAAAAAATAGTAACAACAGGGGAAGGCTGGACCTCCCATCCCTCCTTCATCCCACCCCGCAGTGGTGGGGATGCTGCTCTGCCCAGGGGACCAAAAACGCCCCAGCCCGGCTGCCGAGGCTTCCCCCCGGGGGGGAAACCCGGGCGAGATCCGCCCGGGGCCCGA